GTTAAAAAGGTTTTCATTTATAAAGCTCTAAAAACCTTACTGACTGATGTTTTAGTGCACTTCCTGCAAATATGGAAAAAAATAAAGGGTCTCAATTAAATATGTGCAGTTTCACATGATTAGTGCAAATTGCCACATGACCAAAGCAGTTTATTTCCTGTTTGCACCTTGAAAAGATGATGGTTGCATCAAAGCTCCAAAACGAAAGCTGTTTATTTACAGTTTTTCTTCAGCAATCAGCACCTATAGTGTGGGAGTTTGTTCAGAGATGTGGCAGCTGTGGGTTATTGCCGTTGCACATTCATTATGTATGAATCCTTAAATCTGAGGAGAGGGATTCATTTTAAGGGTTTTATTAAAACATGGATGGTTTAATTGTTGTTTTAATATAACAGCATCTGTGTTAGTATAATAAAAATTGTTCAAAAAATTTTAATACCACGTTCACGGTCCAGAAAGGTAGTAAGGACATCGTTAAAATAGTCCATGTGACATCAGTGGCTCAACCGTAATTTTATGTAGCTACAAGAATATATCCTTTTGGTGCACAAACAAAACAAAAATAACGAATTCCTTCAACAATTTCTTCTCTTCCGCTGCCATTCACGAGAGTACCACGACGCACGCGTGTGATGCTGCTGACGCAGGAGCCGGTGTTCTGATGTAGGCTAGAACACGCATGCGCTGTGCCTTGTTTGCATGCGTCGTGGTACTCTCTGGGGGGTGGGCACTTCCTCCCCTCCAATTACAGTTTTTATTTACAAAAGATGAGACACATTTCACAAAATAGAAAACTACATCTACACCTAATTGTTTTGAAAGTATTTCGTTTTTTAGATTTGCAATGTAGCCTATTTCAGTATGGTATTACTGTGGAAATGTCTTATTCAGAAAAAAATGGATTCTAGCCATCATAAATACTGACAGTCCATGTCTATACTCACAACTTTACTTGTGTTTTAAAAGAACATCATCATCTCTGATTTAAAAATAAAAATGTTTGTTTGTGCTTTCCGATTTGATTATTTGACAACCCTTTCATTTCTGTTTAAGTTGGTTGATCACTGGAAACTGTCTTTGTAGCATTGTTGGTTGTTGTGCTTTTCTGATGACATTCATTTCTTAAAATGTGGCAGGTACTGTAGGTAATAACTCAAATCATATTGTCATTTATTTGTTTATTAATTTATCCTCACATTGGTAAATTGTTTGCGTGTTTCTTTAACGATATTCAATCTTGAAGACACATTACACACATACTGTATGTATGTGGGTTGTACAATCCTCTCATATTAAAAGCCAGACGCACCACTTCCTGCATGATAAATGTGGTGGTAAACAACAACAACAACAACAAAAGATAGATAGACAGACATACAGATTTATGTACATATGTACCTAAATACATATATATGCTGTTTTATTTATATATATATAAAATTAGCACAGCTGCACACAAGATATGTAACATAAGCAAAACATCTGAACAACACATTACAGAAGTAAAGTAGCTTTCATTGGTTTAAACATACAACAATCAGCCTTAACGCATATTAGAGTAATGATAAATTGAGCAAGTAACATTTAAAATACAGAAAAACAAATCTGTTTGTAATCTGCATCCAACCATGTCAGCTCTAACAGCTTTTATCTAGTAGACCAAATCACAATCTGGCTGATAATGACCAATACAATGACAACGAGGCCAATACCAAGGCCGATGTGATTCAGGGTGCGTGCCATTTTGGAGTTCTTCTCTGCTAATTCTCGCTGTCCTGAGTAGTTGGCATCTCGAGTCTGTGAAAACAATTGTGAAATATATAATGTCAACCATTTTTGTTCTCAGAAATTGCTAGTAAATTTTGCAAGACAAAAGAATTGTGAGAAATAAACTCGCCAGAAAAAAGTCAGAATTTTAAGATACAAAGTTGCACTTACACTTTTTATTTATTTTAATTTTTATTTATTATATTTTTAGCACATGGCGGAAACAGGCTTCCATAAGTAACACATTGAATTAAATGTGAAATTTTGTACAAAGTACAAAGACTGAAATTGTATTTACTTGTAAAACGTACTCCGTGCAATATTTAATTATTAAGCCATTTAGTTATGTTTGCAGCGAATTGCAAATTTTCGATACGGGTCTTTCGTTTCGGTATGCATGTGTAACGAACAAATACAGCATTGTTTTTAACCACTGCAAGAGTGGACCTTCATTGGAAACTTCCAGTTTTATATAGGCCTATTGTAATAAATTCTGTTTTGATTCTCTTTGATGTGGCGTGACTGATCGCTGTATAAACGCCTCACTTTAAACGACAGCACGAAGTGCAAGTGAACGTGATCATCCCTTACTATTTACTACTAGTTTTAACACGAAATAAACATGAATGAACATCTCATGCCATGCCTCACATAATCGTTCAATCTGTGTTTCAACTACGGAAAGACATCACTAATAAAGCAGCTTGTAAACAAAATGTCACATAGCATTTTAGCTTACCTCAGGCAAGTCATCAGTGTGTACAGCACATTAGTTCACTAGAGAAATTAAGTCTAGAGAAGAGCATTTAGCAAAATATTATACTATACACTCATTATATTTTACTTCACCTGTTAGTGATGTATTAATTATTTAGTGATTAAATTAAATCTGTTAAGTGTAAATGAATATATTTCAACAACAAATAGAAATTGTATAGTTTACAAGTTAATTTAAAGCTAAAGTCCGTAAGTTTTTTTCGTTAAAAATGATCCGAAATCCATTTTTGAGCAAGTACATAACCAGCCAGTGTTAAAAACTATCTCATTACCGTAGCCGATTCACAACGGTAAGTTTATAATAATGTTTTAAATTTGAGTGGTACTGGTAGGTTTTCGCGGGAAATTCGAGCATGTCGCTGCGTCATTACATCACGTCTGTAAACTAAACATAAAGAAGTTGTCTTGGCTAGTATGCTATATCGCATGTGAGGATGCTGCAGGTGGCGGATCGTTTATAGCCTTTTCTCACAGCAACTGGAATAATTAAATTTATCATTTTGACAGTGGATTGTAATCTAAAAAGTTTATGTGTTTATGAAACACAAGTGACTGAAATTACATTATATTCCCGTTTTAAATGTGCATCAATATTTGTATTTTAAAGACAACCAGTTCTAAGGAAGAATAATTTGCTTTTTGGGTTAAAATAATTTCTTTATATGAAATTACCATGGTATGACAATTATAGATTAGACCACCCGGAGTTTGGTTATCATGTTTTCTTTTGTGTTTTCATTGGTTTTTCATGTAATACTGTACTCTAGGGGCGCTAGGTAGCCTGCTCCTCTGTACTTAGCCAGGCAGGAGGGGAGAAGAAGTTAGTAGAATGAAATTTTAATGTTAATATGGCGAATTCAAAGGAAAGGAATTTTAATAGGATTTTGTTGGGTTCCAGCCCATATGGGGGTTGTTGGGAATGAAATAAGTGATCAACTGGCTAAAAATGCTTTAAAAATAAAGGAAATTGATATCAGTGTTCCATTAGGTAGAGGGGTGTGGAGGATGGAGGAGCTGAACACGCAGCGCCAACCGATACCTGGACTCTTGATGGCTTCAGAGTTGAGACAGAATAACTAATATAATAAAAGAAAATCCTGATTGCACAATAGCACAGTAGGTGGCGATATGCGCAAAGATTGCAACTCGCCATAAAACCAAGAAGAAGAAGAAGAAGTTAGTATGGTTTAGTGAAGGGGAAGCATGGTTTGTCTCTCATGGTTCACCCAAGATACACAGAGTCCAGATTGAGAAACTGTGGTTTTAAGCTCGATCAAAAGGACTTTTTTATATACATGCACTATCTTCAATCCATCAACATTGTGAATTCTATGCTGCTGTTGTGCTTGGAACCTGAGGGTTCAGTATTCGGAGGACAGCGGTATCAAGGCCTTTCTTCATCATTTGGCTGTTTGTATTCTTTTGGATTAACTGTTTCGTTAGATTCCTAAACTTACTGGACACTTCATCACTGCATGGGACAATTGACTCTAACTTGTAGGGATTACTCTACGAACTACATGACAATGGTCATCTAAGGTTTTCTTTTCCTTTCAACTGCAT